TTCCACTAGAGAAACACGAGGCACTTCGGATTTACACACACGCGCACCCAGCAGAGTAACGTTTTAAGCTCGCTCTCGTCAAAAGAAAAGCGAGCGACAGGTTGAGAATCGATTTTTTTTTCACCCACACGCGGATCTCCACTCCAACCGATGCCGCGCTCGCCCATGAGTCGAATAAAATTCCACAGAGTCCTCGATGCATGGGTATTGGTGTGTGTGTGTGTGTATGCGAGGCACATCTACATGCACGTGTGTGTCCTAGTGTGTGCTCGACGTAGCCGAAATGCCATCGGCACCCGACACTTCTGCCTGTCAGCGATTTTCCTCTCTTTTACAATGCGGCGGCGGCGGCGGCCCGAGCTCGCGTGTCGCCCGCACCTATCTCAAGGGAAGTTTGACACGCTGCCACAGCGGCAGCTCGGGCTATATTATAGTTTGCCTGTGTGAGTGGCCCGCGCGCCTGTCCTAGCCTACTATACGTACATGCAGGAATCGTCCCTGTGCTGCCTATACATACCTAAATCAGAAGTTGGCGTTAAAATTGAGGAAAATTTGGAAAATTTCCACTCCGCCGAGCTTTCGATCGCGTTCGTTGTCTATATAGATGGCCGGGGACGATATATGCAACACGCACATTATCGTTTATCGAGCACAAATATAAGGGCACTTTCGAAGAGCTGGAAAATTTATAGAAGCTCCTATGGTACGTATGCCTTTATACGCGCTCGAACTGTGCACGTAGCAAATATCCAGATGAATCAAACTGTACGTAGACTATCGAAAATCTAGCCGAGATTATTTTGCTCTCTACGCGTGGTGGCAAAAACACGTCCTCCCTCTTTTTCCTCGTTCTCGTTGTTTTTTCCTTTCCATCCAGGAGATTCTTCGACAGTGTTTTTATGCACGCGGTACAGCTGTAGTGCTGCTGGCGTACCCAAAAAAAATATGTTTTCCATTTTCGCGCGCATCAAAAGCACCGGATTTCGGTTAAATATCCAATACATAAAGAGCGTTTATTATAAGGGCGTTGCAAGCTCGACCTTTCACGCTTGTAACGGTGGTTTTATAGACTACCGATTTGTATCGAAAATCGGCTTACCTATTGTGCTCTATCGGCTTATGGGTAATGCCCTCATTGGTTCATTTTATATCTTATGCTATTTTTTGCTCCTATTACCCTAGCTCTAATTCTGTACACATAAATGCGCGCTAACTCCATCCAGCTCACCTCTCCGGTGGATTACTCTGTTAAATTATTCAAAAGAGTTATCGAAAATACATATAGCACCTGCATCGCACGCACACACGCACACACACACACACACATGCTTAACCCTCCGACAAACGTTATAAACATTTTCAATTTCAACCGGTCACGTTTTCATATACTCATCGGGGGCCGCGTTGTTTAATTAATTTCGAACCTCCTCCTATAGTGTCGTCGTCGTCGTCGCCGATCATCACCTCGCTTACTTCGTGTGTGTGTGTGTGTGTGTGTGCGTATGTGTATGTGTACCTGATATTGGATTGGAATATTATTGAAACGTGTTCGCAGGTACGTTTCATCGAGGCGCAACTAAACTAATATATATACCCGGTATCATCCCGTATACGTCGCTCGCGCTCGATATTATTATAATAAAATACAAACTGGATTCTTAGCGGAATTCGTTTTCATCGGTATGAAATAATATATCGAGGTATATAACCAGCTCGTGACTTTATTAATTTTGCTGAAATGTGGAGGACTGCCTCGTTTACTATATATGAAACGAAGTGGCCAATCCTCGGCTTATGTGTGTATTTATCAATCGGAAGGACAATATGAAAGGTTAATAACTATATCAGCTGCTGCACGTGGATACGAAGTTTTTAATCTCTCTCCGCGACGTCGAGTACGAAAAGTCAATTCTATAATAAACTTTTTCAATTTTATTACCGTATGCTAGCTCTCGCTGCTCTCTTGTAATACGAGTCCTTATCGCGGATCGCAGAGAAATTAATTAATTTTTTCCCCCGCGTGCGCGCACGTGTACAATACCCTCGCGTCCGATACCACCTCTATTCTTTCTCTCTCTCTCTCTTTTTTTTCGTAACCAATATAATAATAAAAAATAGCGATCTGGAAGCGGCGGTCGGTATAAAATTGTATACATTTTTGACAAATGACTCGGATTGGATGTTCCGTGAGCCGAAACGATCGGAGCCGCGCTGCGGCTGCTTTGTTTTTGACGTGGACAAATTTCACGTAAATCATGGTTCATTAGTCAAGTCGCGATCGGGCTCGATTAAATTTTTTTTACAACGTCTGTATGAAAATCAACCCATTTCTGTTCGCTTCTTGTTTTTTTTTTGCCCGTCGTCGCGATAAAAGCTTTACGTGCCAGTCAGCCGTTACGTCAGGGACGAGGGAAAATTAGCTGCTTATTAAAGCTATATCGGAATTTTGTCAGGAGTTTCGTACTAGAATGGAAATTGTCCAATGCCGCCGTGAGAATATTAATACACGTCCGAACGTCCGCGATGGAATAATAAAACAATAAAATTTAAATAACGATACGTACGCGATGAAATGAAAAGTATTAAGTTCGATACGAAATACGTTGTGTGTGTCTGTTTTTTAATATGATTAAAAAAAGTGTCAATGCCAAAGACGGAGAGTTAAAACGTGTGTATCGTATTGCAAGTCCTTTGATCTTTTTTGCGTCACTGCTGCAGTGTGCTGCAGCCACACAGTAAAACGAAAAACATTCGATTATCGATAAATATATAATACAATTCGATGTATAATATCGGCGCGAAAAGAAATAAGCACTCTGTATCGGAGAGGTATAGAAAAAAAAGAGACACAGAGAGCGAGCCCGTGAGAGGCAAGAACTGCATTAATTAAGCGGCATTGAAAATCCAGGAGGTAAGCAAACAGCTCTAGGCATGTGGCCGCGGAGAAACGCGCAACTATATACATGTACAGTGGCAGCACACAATACATTCGACTATTCTCTATAATTGGCTCTAATGCATTCGACGCCGTTATCATTACTATTATTATTATTATTATTATTATCCATATGGAGCTTAAGGAGGTTCGATAGCACTTTCAAGGGGCAGGCGGGGCGAGGGGGTCGCCTATGCTTATACACGGGCACGATGTAGTGATACCAACTCATGAAAACAAAATATTATTAGCAAAATAGCATGCAGCGGCCGCACGGCACTTATAGGCGAAACTGCTTAACTTCTATCTCGCTGAAAAACCCCCTAAACGCACTTAAAAAAAATATGTGACTTATGATTTCGATTGGAAATTTCCTCAGCTTTCCGATGATGAAGTCAGATTTTCAAAAATTTTCCATTTTCCACGGAAAATTGTAAAAATAAACTTTTAACATTAAATATCTCAAAAAGCGCATTTTTAAGATTTTTTAAAGTAGTCTCAATCGAAAGCTGAGGAAATTTCCCATCGAAATACATATTTTTCATAGAGTACATTTTATTTTTACTAGCTGAAATACAGCGATGAACGTGTAAAAACGCGACATTTCGGTTCGCGTGGCTCAGAATCTCACGTTTTTAGACTTGTTTATTGAGCATTCGGCGTTGTAAAACGAGTCGTTTTTTTTTTCAAAATGATCAATACCTTCTTGGCTTTCTAAAAAATAGTTTTTTTTTTATTTCTTAAGACTAATTCGTTTGCATAATGCTTTTTTTGTGACATTGTTGTAACTTTCCCCATAAGACCCATGTATAAGACGTCGTTTTTGATTTTTTTTTTCTCGAAAACTAGATTGTAGATCAATCTAAGATTTTAACAGTGCATTCAGTTCTTATCAAAGATTGAAATAAAAAAGTTTCAGGCGTTTCTAAAGACATGAAGTTTACTATCGAACCTCCTTAAGCTAATGGACCGTACTCTGAGGACACACTCGGCGCACGTATTGCTATATTCATTTTATGTATAAAATATTCAGTAGAGTACAGCACGAATGGGGAAAAGGATTTTTTTCGTTAAAATGTTTCACATCGTATATAACCAGAGAAAAAGTAAAAAAGATAATTCGTGAACTTTCGGTGGTTACGTACGATCGTCGCGGAGCTGCAGCCGAGCCAATTCGCGGCAAATTATCGCCAAATCGCTCGTGCTCGCGACGTAAGTCGTGGGGAAAATCGACGGACGATAAATCATCGCTCATTAGCGGGTTCCGGGAGCTCGTGATCCGCATACAATATATTATATGCGTCGGTACATCCGACCTGTAATGCAAACGTCTGTCTATATGTACGTACTATTTGTGTTCCTGTCGATGTATAATTTAATTTTTACGCGTGTAGCGTGTTTGTTCGTGCTTATACACTACGTTGTGTACGTTCGCGCTCGGATTGATGCAATTAATTTTAACGAGAAGCTCTCTATGCGCCAGACTGCCTGAGGTGATGTAACCTACTGCTTTATAAAATCGCGTATATACACCCAAAGCTTGTTATGCGCGCCATAATAGAGATTGCTGCTGCTGCTGTTGCTGTGTAGTACCTACAACTGCTCCTCGCGCGCGTTTAAATTTTCATACGCATATAGAGAGCCGCGCGGCAACAGGCGGCGATCGAGATGCCTTATTTATTGCGTACAGAAAGTCGGTTTGGAAACAAAGGGGGGGCGGGGGGAGAGAAGATTTTCCAGCGGGCTTTACATGCGCCAAAGTTCCGTTGTCGAGGCCTCGTATTGTACACGTGCTGCAGCTGCAGCTACAACAACAACAACAACAACTACACGGCTATGATGCCTTTCTAATGGCGTTGAAAGTTTTGTAGCTCGTGCTGTAGAATTGCCCCGAAGTATCCGCGAGCAATTGTCAAACATGAGCGTCGAACTTTTCCGACTGCTGCTGGTGTCTGAGCCACGAAAAATTTACATACCTATATCGCCTGGGTTAAAATTCTGCTGTGTATGGATTCTAATGGTACGAAATTAAATGAGTAAGATGTGTATTTTCTTGTGATTTCAGATCGACCATGTTCTGCGAGGCAGCGAGCTTCTGCAAAGTAAGTTTTCAGATCGAAATTATTGTTAAAATATTTTATAAGATTATTTGGAAAGCGGTAAATGGAGATTCGGTATAGAGGTAAGCTGGTTTGAAGGGAAAAAGATGTCAAAAAACTAGGAGATATAAGGCTAGAATGTGACTTTGAATTTCCTCGTGTATTTTAAATGGAACTTTTCATCGATTCGAATGAAAATGTATGCGGAGGTGGAGGAGAGGACAAATGGAATTTGAGCCTATACTAGACCCGTCCATAGCTCATTTCAATACAAATGCATTTTTTGATTAAGTCTCTCGCAGTTTTTGGCTTTCGAAGTTTTGGTAGCGAGAGAAAATTTTTTCGATTTAGCTTCGATTCTTCAATTGAAGAATTTATTAAAGCTTTCTTCTATTGAAGCTTCTATATTTGCTTCTGTTTATATTTTCATCTGCCTATCTTTTGATTTTTCTATGCATACATCATATGCGTTATATCTACGTATTGACTAACTTTTTGTCACGCTAGCTTACGCTTTCATCCATATTGACATGCAAAGGATATTATTGAAAAAACAAATCTTTTGATTTGTACGCTATCCCGAGCAAGGGAGTCATCCGTTACGCAATATTCGAGTTTTATATATTTTTGTTTTGTTGTTTTTTCTGTAGAAAGAAAAATGTAATAACTCGTTATTTTCCTCGCTGTACGGAAATATTTAAGTTTCGGCTGTATTCCCTTGTGAACTAGTTGCAAAATTTCTACTGGACTGATACAAAAATGTTATTTTTTACTGTAGGATCCTTCAGGCAATTTTTACAAGGGTTTTAACTTTTACACAGTTCAATCATGCCTACAAAACAAGCAATTTGAAGGAAGCGATCTCTGTTAAAATCAACAAAAGTCAGCCATATAAAAAAGTCCCGATTAATGTTAATTTGAATGATGGGGCATAATATCTCATTACATATTTGCCAGAACACTTTTTTTGAATGAAGGTTTCGTAGAAATTAGGATAAAGTCACCTAACGGTCGGTCCCGATACTTTGCAAGCGTACAGGTTAAGTTGAAATGACTTCTCAGAAAAACCGAACGAAAACTACTTTACCGATATTTTACAAAATCAAAAAAAAAAAAAAGAGAAAAAGTTTCAACTCATGGCGTAAGCAGTATTAGGAAACATAATTGAACACGATAAAAATGTTCTAGTACGTAAAGTAGTTTAAAACTTTATCATGTATTTTAACGTACTCCTCACACTCTACTTGCCTAAAAAAATAATAATTGTAACAGCCGCTGCAAGCTCGGGCGTCAAATTGAAGAAACACGAGGATCGGCCTGCGCCGCTCGTTTATCAGTACGTACGTAACACGGGGCGCGCGTACACTCGGGGGCAGTGGCGGTGGCAACACGAGGTGCGTTGATACTCGACTCCGCCGTGCGACGCACCGAGGCCGAGAGTGTCCTTTTCAAGGATGCGTAAATTTGGGCGCTCTCGGCGACCGTTCCGAACTCGGATATACGTCGTCGCTCTGTATCTCCGTTTCTCCATTAGGCGCGCGGCACGAAATTCGAATATCCTAGCTCCGGATCGCAGCAGCCTCTCTGCTGCACCGCGCGATATATATTATACAGCACGAGCTCGCGCGGATAGGTCGATTTCTCTTTGAAAACATGTATAAATTACGTTCGCGCGATCATCGACGTATCGTACGTTAAATGGAAAATTTTCTCTTATGCATCGCGGGGGTGCGCCTGTTTCAGTCGCGGAGAGTTATACATATACGATCGAAACGATTTCAACGACCGCCAGTGCTTATGAACTGCACTTATAGCTTTAGTTTCTCTCTCTCGCACTCCTTCAATCATATATGTATGTATGTATATGTGCTCGCGAGCCTGGAAGCGAAATTATATTTGGCTTTGATCCTTTCCCCGCAACTATACATACGAGCTCGCGTGCGCGCGATGATTAAACGCGGCTACGCGACGTTCAATGGCTCGGCTGAATATTTATCGAATATTATCCGCGCGATCCTCCTCTCTAAAGCCACCGACTCTTTATACATTCATTTATTTATTATAATTATTGTAGTAATTATTATTATTATTAATATTTTTTTCATTATCGTATCGCTCGGATGCACTTGTGCGTTATAACGCGTGCTCATAAGCGCCTCGTTATAGGCCAAATCGAAAATAAATTCCAATGCGCGGAACGAATGTCGAATGGAGGATAAACGTGCCTCTCTCGCACGCGCGCGCAATCTATCCTCTAGATAATATATATATAAGCAAGGATATGTACGGGAGCCCGAAGTACCGTACTCCGCTACAAGTCTAGCTCGCAATTGAAATTTTCACGCGTCGCGCGCGATTTCATTCGACATTTAGCATATGGAATTAAATTCCTACGCGACCATTTATGGAAATTTAAACGAGTCATTTTCCATACGTACGATCGTTATTTGTATATTTTAAACAGCGATTTATAAATATATATAAGACGGAAAGTTTTCCACGACGCGCAGTTTTTGCGCGATGTCTCTCGATGTAGTTTAGGAGGAGGAGGGGATCTTTTACAAGATTCATTCGATATTATTCACGGTCAATTTGCAAAGCAAATTCGATATCGACTACGCTCCTTCTTCTTTTTTTACACAGTGTTACCCGGCCCCGATGACTATCTTTCGCCGATGGAGTATGTATGAAAAGGGTCGCGAGTGAGAAATAGTAGTGGTAGCAGTAGTACCTCGAATCATAAAAAAAATCAGAATTTTACGATAGCATTCGATGAGGCGTATTAAAAAGAGAAAAGAGAGCGAGAGAGAAGGAGGAAGAACATCGAACTCGCACTCGGGCTCGAAAGCAATCAATGCTCTGGATAGTAAAATATTGAGTGCGGTTTTTTTTTACTTCATTGCATGGCTACTTGTCTCTCTTTCTCTTCCTTTTTTCTCGCTCGAAACTCTCCGATAATCCTCGGTAGCTATACACACACAGAGCGAGAAACTATACATTAGAATTTTTCGCCGTGAATCTTTTCAATACGATTTTATTGCCGCTCTGGCGTATACCACGTACAAGCTCGTTTATAAATAATGCGCGGGAGCTGATTTTCTTTTTATCGATACAATCAAAGGGCTCGAGGTTCGATTTTTACGATTCTAAGGAGAGACGAAGAAGAAAAAGCTGCGAGCGGACCTCGGAGTCGTCGTCGAGCTTGATTACAATGCTTCATCGAGCGTGTTATTATTCTTACAAATGCGCGCAAACACAATCTCTCGTGCGGCAGAGGAAGTGCTAAGCAAATACACACACCGACTCGAGTCGTCGTCGTCGTCGTCGTCGCGGCGCACACAGCTGTCGAACGTGTAATATAAGCGAGCGGGAGGTTCGCGACTCCAAGCTGCCCGACGTAAAATTTCGTGTTGTGCAATAAAAGAAAGTGCACCACCTGTAAAATAAAGCAAGGGACGGGAGAGAAAGAATTTACAAGGCTTTTGGCCCAAAGCGAAGTTATTGAAAAATATTTTTGCCAATTGATCCTGTAAGAAAATAAGAAGAGAACAACGTGTAATTTCAACTCGTAAAAGTACGTCGATAAAAGTTTACCTGAGCGCATGTGTGTGTGTGTGTGTGTTATTTTTTTGGGTATTGCTAGTGTTTCCCAACTCCTGAAAGAAAAGGGCCATTCGAATCTGTTGTTTTTTTTCTCTAGCTAGCTATTTTGATTCGGCTTTTAGCATTCGAGAGAGAGCTCTGCCTTCGACTATACTCGAAAGTTAAGCTGCGCGCGGCTATTTACCTTTTTTTTTCTTTCTTTTACTTTCTTTCGTTGCTGTTTTTTTTTTATGACCAGTTGCCGGCACAGTTAAAAAGTAAGAGACCTATATATCGCGCCCGCAACCACATTTCAGAAAGTTACGCACGAGATATATATCGTTCTCTTTGGCCGCACGCGATTCCTCGCTCTCGCATTGTTTCCGCAGCGAATATCTTCCTACGGGGTATACCGAGACACGTTAAAGCTAAACTTTTTTTCCCTCTCTTCCTTCTTTTTTTTATCGTCTCCATCGGTCGGAGCTTTTATTGAACTCGTCATCGATACTCGATAAACAGCCGCACGCGCGCGCACCTGCGCACTCGCTTCGAATCGATCGTGGTGGCCGTTTATCACAGCCCAAATGAGTATTTTGGAATGCGAACTGTGCGCGATTCGAAATCATATACAACATTAACGTAAATAACGACAATTTGGATTCTAATCACGAGCAACGCGTAGAGAGCATAATATGGCGCGTATACCCGATATACGATGAATTTCGAGACGAAGATATACGCGCAATATATTACTTGGCATACGTCACATCAATCCAAACTTGCACGCTGCGTGGCGCGCTTGTATCAATTTCGGCGGGGGGCAAACTTTGAGCCATACACGAGCCTTGATGCATGCCATTCAATCAAAGTTAGACGAGGCCTTGCCGAAATTCTCAGAATAATAATTGAAAATTATTCGTCTTTGGCAGTGGCGAGGCTATATATATGCATCGATAATGTTATGACGTATTACGCCTGTGATATATCGGTTTATAATCGAAAAGAAACAAGAAAAAAATACGTAGATGGCAAAAATATTTTTATATCATCTTTGAATTCCCATTGGATGGAGACGAACTTGCCCTCGCAATATAGCGGATCGAAATCGAAAGATAAATACACTCGGATGTGCGCGCGTATCGACAAAAACATATCTTGTAAAGTTTAAAATTGCTCGAGGTGCACTCGTATCGAAACGTATATGGCCCCTTGTGAATATTGGCCCGCTACGGATAAACACACAAATACACGTGGCATTCGATACACGTATACAAATTGAGATTTTGTTTTTGGTAAAACTGAGGCACATTCGTAACTAATATTCCCCTTCATATTAAAAAAAGAAAATTGTTAGTCAATTATATATAATTATATAATTCATTTTTAACTTATACAATTATTTTCACTTTGCCACTTGCGGA